ATGAGGGCATCAGCAGCTTCTGGGCCTCACCCCCTTCTCCATGGGCCCTTCCTCAAGCTACCCGGTTGCTTGGAGCCTGGCTGTCTTCTGGCCCTGGCATCCCTTGGCCACCCCCTCCCAGGAGCAGTGCTATAAAAAGAAAAAAGGATGTCAGAGAGAAAGGAGGAAATAAAGTCTTTGGAAAGCAGAGAGTTTTACGACAGCCACAGGTTTTATGGAAGCAATTCCGCAATAACCTTCTACCTGCTCAGCTCCTTTCCGCCCTGCCTGCCGCCCACCCCGTTTGGCCTCCTGGATGCTCCTCCCCAGGAGTCAGCCACCACACACACACACACACACACACACACACACACACACACACACACACACCACCTTCCCAACCCCTGATGGCTGCAAGTTGGTAAGAAGATTCTGTAGGGCGGCTTGGGCCACTGACCTCTCCTCCTTCCTTTCATCTCTGACAACCCAGCCCGGGAGGAAGTTTCTGGCAGAAAATTTTGTTACTTGGCAATTAAAACCTCCTTTTGGAGGGATGAGGGCACTGAGGTGGGAAACTGGGTGCACAGATTTCATGGGACCTATTCTAGAGGTCATTTTGCATAAAGGAGGATATTTCTGGAGCTCCTGATGCCCCCCTAAACACACACACATTTCATACTTTCCATGAATGAGTCAGGACTCCGAGGCTGGGTCAGAAGCATCAACCTAACCTCTGAGCATTTGGGGATTCAGATGTGGAGACTTTTCTGATTTTGTTGCTACAGAAGAGCTTTTGAATGGTCTTTCCAGTTACTAACTGGGGCATTCTTGATCTGTTCCCTGGGCAAATTTGTCCTAATGAGGGGACTTATGGATGCACAAAAAGCACAGTGCCTTCAACATGGTGCCCATCATTGCCATGGAAAAAGCTACCCATTGCCCCTGTAGCCTGAGGAAGCTACACAGTAAAGGAAACTCATGTTTGGACGAAATAGTTACAAAATTTTGTGACCTCCCCTAGGATCAACCCTCAAATACCTTCACCCTCTAGAGAAAAAAAATCCAGGAGGAAGTTATGAAAGAGTGCAGATTTAAGTTACAAGCATTTGTCTGAGGATATAGGACATTTTTTAAAAAATCAAATTAATAGGCAGTTTTCAAGTGAAGTCTCCAAATCTGCTTGTATTTTTCTAACCACAATTTAGGTACACAGATACTCAAGTTTTTTGCCCTTTCCTATGATGTGCGGTGATAATTTCTAAAGTGTATACTCAAGCTTTTGGGTCATAGATCTTATAGGAGCAGAATCACGAACCCACATTACTTATAGGGATTATATACACATCCACGTATGAATGATTAGAGTCTATATCCAACGCCCAAGCAATCCAGCATTACAGTGGGCAGATTTATTTATTACATATATTTATTACCTTAGGTTCTATCCACAGCATATAGCGCATTCCCACCCTAGTTTCCCATAAAGAGATGTTGATTTGAAATAGACATAAATCCACACATACATTCAGACCAGCATGCATGAGTAAATATCAGCTTAGCTTCTCAATTAAAAACAAACTTTTACCCTTTTCTCATTTCTCGTTTTTGGAGTTTTTCCTTTTCCTTCCTTTCCCTTTATAGATTTTTCACTTGTTTATTATTGACAAGGACCATCCAAGAGCTGATCCCCAACAGTTACTCACCGGCTCCTGGAGGCTCGGCCTTTGCTCTCTCCCCACCTCATCCTCGCTTGTTGTTGCTGCTCTGGGCCTCAACATGGCAGGAATCAGAGCTCCTGCCCGCCTGTCCTTCCCCTGCTCCAGCTGCTGGCCCTAGCCGGGTTCAGGGACTCAGCTTCAGTGCAGGGAATTGTAGAGACTATGAGAAAAGGCAGAATTTTCCTTCCTTCTCCTTAATACTGGGGGGGGGGGTGGGGACTAGTTTGTTCTCTCAGGGAAAAGTGCCCCCCACGGAAGCAGCCCCCTTATTAAACATCTTTAGAGGTGGGGCTCCAAGGGTCCTACTCCTGTTGGCCTTCTAGTATGATAGTGGGTGCCATTGTCTAGTATTTGGGGGATCCACAGGCCCTCAGGGCACTGGACAAGGGGTTCTGTCTCCATCAAACCTTCCATCACTTGCTGGAGCAGACACTAAGCTCCCAATTTGGGGCTGCAGCGTCTTCTAGAAGCACTGGCTGACTGAGGGGGACTCTTGGTTAGAGACCTCTGTCTCTCACCTCTTGTCCACTAGCCAGAGATAATGCACTGTCCCTGGCTTAAGGGACAGTGCATTTCCCTTCTCTTCTGAGTCACCTGTCCAGAGAATGCAGCTCTCCCAAACCTGTCCCTTAAATTTGTTCCCGCCTGCCAGTGGCTGGGAGAGACCAGGCTAAACTCTGGCTTCAGACAAGAGCCCCGGAAGCTCCTCTTCCCCCAGCAGCCAGGGGCCACCGGGGCTGAGGAGCAGCAGACACACCGGAACCTACAAACCTGAACCCTGCAGACGGCTGGGCTCCTTCACCCTCCTGTGGCAAAGCCCACATGGTTTTCCTCTAACTTTGTCACCAAATGAAGAAGTGGCCCTTTCAAAGAAAGACAGGACCAATGCCAGGTCCAGAGTGGGGACCAGAGGGATCCCGTGCAGCCTGACTCTGCGGAACAGAATCAATAAATAAGTTAAGACTGAGTCCTCAGCCCACATGTCCTTTGGGGTCCTAATTTATACACCCCTGGGAGAACCCTATCCCCCTGCCCTCCATGCCTCATATAATCATTATTTATGGCAGGAGAGCAAGCGCTCTTTTTCTTTTTTGTCTTTTCTGAAGACTCTATTTGTTGCAGGTAACGCCGACAGCAGAGTCCATACGACAGGCAAGTCGGGAACAGGTGCTTTCCCCTAACTGTGATTCATTCTCTCTGCGGCCAGCTTTCTTGCTGGTGAGTGGAGGGAACCCTCTCGACTTTGCCCAAGCGTCCCGCCGCTACTTAGCAGGACTTGCCTCGGATATTCGTTTCCCCACTTGGATCCCATGGAAAAAAAGCAGATCTTCACGCTGTTTGGTTCAGGATCGGCAGCGCTGTCGCCCTCGGAGAGCGGGGGGTGGGCGCGGAGGGGGCCGGCTGGGCGCCGGCATTGATCTTTAAAAAATCATTTTGAGATCGCCATAATGTGAAGAAATATGGCGCGTCGCCCTCATATTTCACACGTAATGACACGAGATGGCTTCATTTGGAAAGGAAAGCGGGCGGAGTGTGTGGGGGCGAGTGCGGAGGTGCTCGGCCGCCTCCCGCGTCGCACCGAGGTACGTGGCCAAAGAGCTAAAACCACCCATTAGAAGTGGAGCCGCTTTTGTTCAAAGGATGAAACTGGAAGCTTCTCTTCTAAGCCATCTTCTCGGGGTCCAGGGTGGGCGAGTACCAAGAAAATCTGCCCCCACCTGTCCCTAAACCCACCTCCAGGCGGTTAGGTCTGTGTAGGGTCCGCCGCCCGGGGCGCCCCACTCCAGAAGCCGCTGCACCCCGGGCGCCAACTGGAGGCGCAGGGGGCGGGAGATGAGCCAGGAAGGCGGCGGGTGGCCCCGGGGGAGACCGGGCGCAGGGCCGCGGAGGAGATGCCAATAAACGGGCTCCTTGGGAGCTCTAGCGTGAGAGAATCCGCAGGAGCGGAGGCTGCGGCCGGCGTGGGCAGAGTGACCCCGCAGGCTCGCTGGCTATGCGGGCGCCCTCCTACTGGATTCGGAGACACTTAGCAGCCGCAGCGCGGCAACGGGAGAGGCCAGCGGACTGGAGAGGCCCACAGAGCCGGCTCCTCTCTCCCAGGAAGCGCATCTCACTGGCACGGTTCCGAAGCCCCGGTCCCCATATCCCCTCTCAGCGCCACTCCCCAGGCCGAGCAGTTGGAGGGGCCTGGGCTATTATTTAGCGGAGAAAGGACAAAATAACGGTACCCCATCCTCTCGTTTCCTCTGACTGCTGCCCCGAGAGGACATGGAAAGAAGCTTTGGGGACTGTGTTAAACTCTTTTTGAGGGTCAAGTTTCCCGAGGCTGCATCACTTAAACGCAAGCAGGTTCTAATTTTAGAAGAGCTGCATTTCAGAATAAGGTCCTTGAATTCTCTCCTCTGATACCAACCCCCCCCCCCTGCCCTTTCTCAGCTCCTGGGCGGGGGCGGGGGTCTCAGAGACACTCTCCCAGGTCTGCAAAGCTCCAGACACAGTCACCAAGGTCCCCCTCCAAAGCCCCTCCTGTGTTGTCCCCTTTTCCTCCCCCCTTGCCTGTCCCCCTATCCGGTGGCTTGCTGTGTGACTGTTATTTAGTCAACAGCCTGTGTCAAGGGACTGAAAAGAGGAAGCGAGGGCCTGCGGGTGAGGTGCAGGTGTGTTGAGGTGGTGGGGGCCCAGATGAGACCACCTCCTCGGCGAGGCAGCCCTCAAGCTGGGGTTCTTTCCCTCCCTCCGCCGTGTTCTTCCTCTCTCCCTCCCTGACCCGCTCGGGGACAGGGCTACACCGCCCGCGTCCCTCCCGAGGCAGCCCGCTGCTTCCCTCCGCCTCTCCTCCGCCCCCGCCGCCCCATGTTGAGAACCCCCCCCTCTTCTTCCTGCAAAGGGGGGGGGGCGGGCGGCCGGCAGCTCGGGCTGAGGTTACGTGGCCGCCGGAGCCCTGACGTGATAGCACATTGCATCAGCATAAAACAATCCATCCTCGATATGGAATGCGGTGCGGACGGATGACAGCGAGAGCGCAGCCCCCTCGCCCGATTGATTTATGTCCGAGCTGACGCTTTATCAGGCAGTCGGAAAAACTTTGACCAATCATTTTGCAAGGAGCGCTGAGCCGGGCTGCTCCACTGTACTTTGTTGGCTGAGAAGTTGAGCCGGGGGTGGGGGTGGGAGGGTGGGGGGCTTGGGGGGGGGGTCGCGTCCGAAAGCCCTCACCCGGGTCCGGGTGCCACCTCTCCCTGCTCGGGTGCCGCGGCGCGAGCGCTTCCCTTCCCCCTGCGAGCGCCCGGATAATGTCTGAGAATGTCCATTTCTGGGACGCTTAGCAGCTATTATGTCGACTCGATCATAAGTCACGAGAGTGAGGACGCGCCTCCAGCCAAGTTTCCTTCTGGCCAGTACGCTAGCCCGCGGCAGCCGGGCCACGCCGAGCACCTGGAGTTCCCCTCGTGCAGCTTCCAGCCCAAGGCGCCCGTGTTCGGCGCGTCCTGGGCGCCGCTCAGCCCGCACGCGTCGGGGAGCCTGCCGGCCGTCTACCACCCCTACATCCAGCCCCAGGGCGTCCCGCCGGCCGAAAGCAGGTACCTCCGCACCTGGCTGGAGCCCGCGCCGCGCGGCGAGGCGGCTCCGGGGCAGGGCCCCGCGGCGGTGAAGGCGGAGCCGCTGCTGGGCGCGCCTGGGGAGCTGCTCAAGCAGGGCACGCCCGAGTACAGTTTGGAAACTTCGGCGGGCAGGGAGGCCGTCCTGTCTAATCAAAGACCCGGCTACGGGGACAATAAAATTTGCGAAGGAAGCGAGGACAAAGAGAGGCCGGATCAAAGTAAGTTATAAAAAGTGAGGAAATGCCCAGGCCGAAGGCCAGGCGTGGGGGGCGGGGGTGGGGTGGGGAGGCCATAAACGGCGGACAATGTGCAGGGCGACTGCGGCGGTGGCCCTGGAGCGCGCAGGGGGGCGGAGGGCAGGGCCCGGGAGGCAGGCAGGAAGCCGCTGCGGCAGAAGGGGAGACTGAGGCCGCGAGAGGAGCGCCGCCCCCGCACCTCCCGGTCGGCGCGGGCACTGCGGCGCGGGGAACCGACGCGGCTAGCGCCCTCCCTTCCTCCAACTCCCGCGGAGGCCTCGGGCAGGAAAGCCGGGCCCCATCTGGCCCAGTCTGCCCGCGAAGGGACTGCAGGGGCCGGGGCCGGCCGCGGGCGAGGCCCGGAGCCCGCGCGGGCGAGGCTGGCAAGAGTCCCCGCGCCACGCGCAGCCCTGGAAAGCGGGCCAAGGGGAAGTGGGAGGGGGCTCATCAGGGTTTTATTTGCGATGCAACAGCTTGGCGGAGGATGGTGCCTCGCAAAGCTGAGGTTGGAGCGGCGCAGGGGCCCCTACAGCCGGCGGAGGGAGGAGGGGGGAGCCCCAGAGTCGGACCCCTCCCCGAGCCTTCCCTGCTGCCGCCTCCTCCCCTCCCCGCCAGGCTTCCCCGCCCGCCCGGGGATCAGCTTCCTTTCCGGTACCCCCTCCCTGTCAACCCCCCCCCTTCAGCTGCTCTCCGCGGGGCTCCCCCGCTCGCCCCTGCCGGAGCTGTCCGCCTCGCGGGGAGTTGGGGAATCGCTTCCGAACTTGGGGCGGGCCGTGGGAGTGGAGAAGGAGAGATCCCGACGGGACCCCAGGAGAGGAAGGGTGGGGGGGAAGAGGCTTGCGGGGAGGCGGAGATAACTTGCCCATTCCAGGACCCTTCTCATTTCTGTCCCCCTCCAGCCAAAAGAGGGGTACCCCCAAGTCTGGCAAATTTCCAAGAGGGACTGCTCGCTGAGGGGTAGGGGTGAGAGGAGACTGCTGGTTTTTTTTGTTTGTTGTTTTTTGTTTTTAAGGCTGGGAAGGACAACTTGGTTGGGGGTTCTAGGCAGCCCCCCAGGGTTGGTTAGGACAAGTCCTCATCTCATGCTCTTCTGTGGGACCTAGGGTCGCTGTTACAGCTCCTGATGTTTTGCCAGATGCCACTGCCAAGGGCTGCAATCCCCCAGGCTGCCCCTGCCGCTGGGTGGTAGGGCTGCCCCCTCTCTGCAGGGCATCCCCACCCCAACCTGCCAGGCTGATTCTTTAGGGTGGGACTTGGGGGAATAAGGTCTTCCCACACCCTCTCCACTCAGAGCCAAGCAGACCCCACTTCCTGAACCCCACAAACTGCCTGGAAAGTCCATAGCTATGCCAGGCAATGGTTGGACTAAGAATCAATTATTAACCATCCCCCTCTTTCATATTTAATGTGGTTGTGGGTCCCCTCCCAGGCAGTCACATTAAGGAAATAGCGCTGCAAGTTGGTAAGAGGGTATTAGTGTAGGATGAACCAGATTTAAAAAAAAATCATCAGTGCTTTTCATTTGGGGAGAAGGAATGTAGCAGAGGGTGGCTGTTATTTTTAATTGATTCTGTTTTATTTGGCAACTTTTCCGAGTTTCAGGGCAGGGAGAGTGAGGATGGTAAGAAGAGAAGCCCGTCCTGCTTCCCACCCCTCCTTCCACTCAATTACTCTTTCAGCTGGCCCCCTTCCCCACTGGGACCAAATGGAATTAGGTGTGCAGTGAAGAGCTTTCTGTCCCGGACCCCTCCTCCCCCATCATCCAAGGCTTCTCACCTTGGGACTGGAGCAATCTTGCTTTCCAGTTTCCCTGAACTTGCTTTAACCAAACTGTGAGGCGAGCAGCCGGGGAAAGAAGAGACTATTGCAATCATAAGTTATCTGGGAGCCCTTGGCGCTCCCTTCCTTGTCCAGAGGCTGGACTTGATAAATGGTTGCAATTGGGTTGCTTGTGAATTGGAGTGTGCTGGATGCTTGCGTCTCTAAGTGTGGACCCATATTTGTGGTGGGAGGGTTAGGGGGGCTCGCAGACACACATGCCTGATGCCATGTGGCTGTGAGACAGGAGCTTGTGGCCAAGGCAGAGAGTGTTCAGCCCGGACTGGGGGGCCAGGCGGTCTCTTGACAGTGCCTGATCAGAACCCTCCTTACTCAGCACCCCCCACACTCATACCGACATCCCCAGCCTTTGAATCAGCCTTCTCCTCAGGTCAGCCACCCCTGGCCTGTCTTGGTGGTGTTGGTGGCAGGGTGCGGGTCAATTAGTCTGGGCTCTGACATGAATCCTAAGTAACCAGTTTGGACCCAACTGGAGAAAAAAATTGAGCAAGAACCTGAGGTTGGCCAGGCTAAGAACCTACATGCTGAGAACCTGGGATACATGTTTGGGCATGCTGAGAATGTGGGGTACACATTTGGACATGCTGAGAATCCAGGGTACATGTTCTGACATGCTGAGAACCCAGGGCACACCTCTGGCTTGATTCCATCTCATTCAAATGACCTCTTACCTGGCCTGTCTACAGCAATTGCATCCTGGTCTCTGAGACCCTTCCTGGGGACTTGACCTTCCAGACACTCCTTTTCCCAATACCAGGTGGGGAGAGAGGAGCAGGGCCATGCCCCTTTTGAAAGGAGAACTCTGGGGCCCTTTCACTCCTCCTTCCCTTCTTTGATTCTATCGCTGCTTCTCTTTCAGCCAACCCTTCTGCCAACTGGCTGCACGCTCGTTCTTCCCGGAAAAAGCGCTGTCCCTACACCAAATACCAGACGCTGGAGCTAGAGAAAGAGTTTCTGTTCAATATGTACCTCACCAGGGACCGTAGGCACGAAGTGGCCAGACTCCTCAATCTGAGTGAGAGACAAGTCAAAATCTGGTTTCAGAACCGGCGGATGAAAATGAAGAAAATGAATAAGGAGCAGGGCAAAGAGTAAAGAGTGAAGACCCAGCCCCACCCCTCCCCATCCCACTCTTATTTATAAGTGATGGCTGGAGAGCCGGTGCAGTCTGTCAGTGCTCCAATGAATGGGGAGGGGGTCTCTCTCTTCCACCCCCCTTTCCGCCCCTCTGTCCCCTTTCTTCCACTTTGCCCTGGCCTTTCTCCTCTCTGTGCTGATGGGGGGAAGCCTTGTTGATTTAGAAGGTAGAAGTAGTTTGCTAAGGAATTGATGGGCCACAGAGAAGAGAGACCCTAGTTGAACCCTTAGGAACCCCCTTACTTTTTCTGGAAAACCCCAGCTCTGCCCTCCCAGCCTGCCTGCCCCCTCTGCTTCCTGGTTTTAAGGGCAGCCTCAGTTCCTGCACTACACTCAACCCCAGAGATACCCACACCCCTAAGCCTGGGTCCCGAAGAACCCTGTGGAACGAGGTACCACACTCAAGTGAGGTGACCCCCCCAAAAAAAAAACAGGGATTCTGTGGCAGAACAGGATGCAGACCATCAGACAAGCCCAGATCCTCTGACAGACCAGCAGCTCAAGTTGTTTAGACACAGTCTAACTGAGGGTTTTCAGGCCAAAGGGCAGCACAGCCCTATGCCATGTCCACAGAAGCCAGAGCTGTATCTTACCTGGGATCCAGGGGCCAGTGGGTACATGCAGGCCACAGTGTGGTGGGCCCAGAGAGGCAAAGAAAGGTGCATTTTTGGAGGAAATGTTTTATTCTGCATGTTTCCACCTCCTCACAACAAAAGGAGGTCAGCTCGTGGGTCACCCGCCTTGACAATGTCACCCTGCTCACGTGTGTCCTGCCTGATAGCCTCTGAGACTGTCACTCCACTTGCTCTCTACAGGCCATGCATCCTTCCGCATGCCCCCCAGCTCTGAAACTTTCTGGTGGGGAGGGATGGGGTGGTGCCCAAGTCCACCTCATATTCCTGGAGTCAAGTCCCGCGCCCAGCCCTGCCAGCTCAGCGCAACCCCACCCCCCGGAGGCCAGGAAGCCTGGGTCAGGAGAGACCGATGGAGAAATTTATTGTGGATCGATTCTGAACTCCCTTCCGGGATAAATTGTCTAGGACCTGGAGGCGCAAATGTTCCAAAGCGCTGAGCGCAATCGAGGTTCTGTCCATCCCGGTGGGCGCACAGCCCATCCGGAGGAGCCCGGTGCGCTGAACCCTGCCGGGCCCAGAGCCCAAGGAGACCCACCCAGTCTGGGCTCTGCCTCCCGCCAGCCTGGCCCGCCTAGTGCTAAGCCTCTGGCCCGCAACAGCTCGCACGCTTCTGGGGCACTGTCCCGTATGCAAAGGAGAGGTGAAACCGACCACGCCTGAGCACCGGGCCACTCACGGAGAGCTTCCTTGGCACCCCCTCCTCCCCAACTCTCCTCCATTCCACGGACCCCTGCTCCTGTTTCTCTGGGCCCTGCCGGGTCGGGAGAGGGGTGGAATGCCCGTAGAACTTTTTGTTTGTTTCGTCAGTGACTGTCGTGAATTTGTGCTGTGTTCTGTGCTTTCTTTGGGGGGGTGATTGTCTCGCCTGTTTAAGTTGTGGCTTACAAGGGAAGTGGGGTGGGTGGGTGGGAGCCGGGAGGGTGAGGGGCCTAGAGCTCTGAATGTTTGTTTTGGAAGAAAAAAAAAGAAAAAGAACAAAAAATATATATCACTCTAGAAGATTCACTTCTCGTCGTGTCTTATTCTGGGCTGGCCCCCTTCACCTGACTGGAAGGACAGGTCCCAGTGTCCATCCGGAGGGCATCTTGGGGGAAAAGGAAGCTCCTGGATGGGGTACTTTGCTCCTCAGACCTCGAAAAGCCAGTTACCCGTGGAGCAGAGCTCCAGTTTTCACTCAAGCACCCCTGACCACTGCAAAAAGCGAGCCCGCATTGTCTGAGGAGTGAGATTGGACAGGGGGGAAAGGAAAGAGCAGGCAGCTGGGGCCACAGCAAACAGTATCTCCCAAGTTGCAAGGGAGAACCCCCCCCCCCCCCCAGCTCCTGGGGCAGAGGCAAAGCTAGAACAGCCACTGATTTCAGGGGTCTACCTGGCTGCCAGACAAAGCTCTCACCTGGTTTGACCACCTGGAACTAACAGGACCAAGAACCTCGCCTGCTAGTCCCTGTGTCAGGACCGAGTCTAAACTCAGTCTCTCCAGGGCTTTCAGTCCACAGAAGCACCCTCCAGAGCCCTTGACCCCCACCTGGAGGCCGAGGTCCCCGTGTATATCCAGGAGTACTTGGTATAAGGCGGGTTGAGTTTGCGAGACGGGGCGGGGAGAAGAGGTTGAAGGGGTAACACCTCAGGAGGAAGAAAAGCGCCCCCAATCAGACCCCAGCACCCAATTTCGTTTGGGATGGCCCCTTTTTGTCCCACTGAGTGTGCGGTTGGGACGGAGAGCCCATCCCGACCTCCCCGGCGCTCCGCAGTCCAGTGCATGCGAGCCTGCGGAGCCGCGGGTGTGGGCGACACTGCGGAAGCCGCTTCCGGCAGGAGCCGCGCCTGGCAGCCCACGGAGCCCAGAAGGATGCGGTCGGCGGGGGCACAAAGCCAGGCCCGCAGGGAGACGGGAAGGGGAAAGGCTAGGCCTACCCCTGTCCAGCGAAGGGAAGGAGGAATAAAGGGCGCGAGCTGGAAGCAGGAGGAGCGCCGGGTCCGCAGCCTGCAAACAGCCTTCCGTTCGGGGTGGGATATGACTCCGGCTGGAGCGCTCGTGTGGCCCGGGCTCTGTCCCCACGCTGGCTCCCTGGAGTCAGCCGGCGCCGGCGCCGAGAGCAGGCGGGGAAGGCTGCCTGCCATCCCGCAGGAGCCGCAGGCGCGTGGAGTAGGGGCGAGCTCTCTCCGGGCACGCCTGCGGCGGCGTGTGGGTGCCGAGCCCGCCCAGGCGGCTTCTGTACAGACACACAAAGGCAAAGATGCGGAGGCTCGGAAGCCGGAGATGGGAATTCTGTTGCCATAAAAGAGGGAGATTCTGAGAGGGAGAGCGGAGAGTGCGAGACCAAGAGAAGCCGGGAGAGGAATTCAATGCCGTGCGCGCAACCATAAAAGAATATGACCGCTATAAAAGTTTATAGCGTATAAATTTCTGAAGGTTAAGAAACTAAACAGCAGCAAAGCAAACAGTGAGGGGAAACTTTCCGGAGAGCCAGTCGCAGCTGGGCTTGGGTTTGGGGCCTGGAGGATGCATGGGTGGGCCTGCCTGTCCCAACTCCCCATCTCCCCTGTACTGGGGCCTGGGTTTTTTTTTTCTTGGGCGGGGGGGTCGTGCTGTGAGGAGTAAAGAAGGCAGAAGACGGAAAGGGTGGAGAGGGAAAAACACTTTATTGTCACAAATATTTCCTGGAACACACTTGGGATTAGTCTTTGTTCTTTGCACCCTCTCCGGAATTGGACATCTGAGTCCCAGGCACCCGAACACACCGGCACACCTACATATGCACACACTTGCACATGGCTCAGGCCGCAGCAGGGCCAGACGTCTGGGTGCTGGACACTCTCGAGTCTTTCACAAGTCCCATTCACCCTCCCAGGCCTTCCTCCACCCCTCAAAGCCCAATTGTTTCTTCTCAGAATTAGAAACAATCATGTTGGGTTTGAACAGTGCTCAGTTCCCCCTTTCATGAATCATAAACGACAAACTGCCTGGCGGTTTCCACCAAAAATTAAGGGTTTGAGGTGTGTGCATGTGCGTGTGTGTGTGTGTGTGTATGCGTGTGTGTGTGTGCGCGTGTGTGCGCGTGTGTGTGTTTTGGGGGGGAGTGTTGAATGGTGTGAGTATAAGTTGGAGAGAAAATAAGCTTATTTTTCTTCCCCCATATTCCTTATTTTTTTTTTGCTTGTAGGCACAATTTTATGAACCATTTCCTGATTTCCAAAGCCCTTTCTCTCACTCGCTCTCGTTTCCCTCTTTTTCTGCTAATAAAGAAAGTTTCTCCACTCAAAGCCTGGGTGGCTGGCTAACCGAGAAATTGGCCACATTCACCATGGCATGCCTTTTCTGAGAATGACCGCTAGATGGCACCCTTGCTCCACGTGAAAATCCGCGGTGCGGCAGCTGCGGGCGCGGGCTGCGGCCAGTCGCACCTAGGCCGGCCCCTGAATAGTCTAACTGCTCGCTACCAAAAGTAATAATTGGCGCGTAATAAAATAGAGGGTTCGTTATGGTCGTTTCCCCATTTTCTTGATTTTAGAAATACTACTCTTGCTTCCTTTCTACCCACATTCCTCCCGAAACGCTCAATTTTGTGAATTTCGCCCAGGAGGAGTGCTCAGCGCTTTCCCCCACTTTCTAGGTTTCAATAAATGCACGAAAACGGAGAATCATCATCATAGAAATAATAGATCCAAATAAAAGCAAGAAATTGGTTCAGAAAAAAATGAGGTTACCCCGGGAGGGAAGCCAAGTGCGTGGTGGCGGGGGGAGCAGCTCAGGTGAGAAGGGAGCGCGGGCAGAGAGAGGGGGTCGGAGGCAGAGGAAGCGGCCCCCAAACCCGCTGCGGGATCGGGCTGGAAAGGGAACCACGAGAGCCCTCTCCGAGGGCAGTGGAGAATCCATCTGGGCGGAATGGATCCCTGGGTTTTGGGGGGCATCCGGAGGTGCCCCTGAAGCGGGGCAACTTCCCAGGACCGAACCTTGGAGCCTTTTTGTGCATGGCCCGGGCTGGGCGCGCGCCACCGGGCCGGTCTCCTCACAAGCCCGAGGTGCGGGAAGGCTTGCGGTTTCCTCGAGCTGTGCTGAACACCCCACTTTGGGTCACCCCAGAGGAGCGTCTTCCCTAGGCGGGTGGGTACTGGCGGGGCGGCCGGCGGCAGGAGCTCAGGGCTCCCCGCTGCCCGAGCCTTGCCTGCCAGGTGAGAGTCGGCTCTGAGCGCTGCGGGGCCGTGCCCGGCCAACCTAGGAACCTTCAGAGTATCGCCGAACACACCCAGCGGTTCAGCGCCGGTCCCCAGACCCGTGCGATCTCAGCCGCTAGTCTCCCAGGTTCCTAACCTCCTCTTTCCTCCCCGCCCAGCCAGATCAGCGAGCCCCCATCCAGACAAACCTGCGCGAGAAAAAAAAAAAATCCCCCCTCCCTGTTTGCAAGGAGCCCCTCTGCGTTCTGCTCTCTCCCCGTGCCCCCTCGGTGCAAAGAGGCAAGGGGAGTTTCTCCTCAACTTGAGTTTCTCTAATAAATCTGCGCTCCGTTGGGTGTTTATAAATTATCTCCTCGCTCTTGCTTGTTTTTTCTTATAATAGAAACATTTTCCTTCCATCAGGAATTTCTTGCCCGGTGTAGGGATGATTTAGAACAAGCCATTGAATTTCTACCTCACCGGTGAGTCCTCAAATCAGAACCATAAACCCCCTCCCCAGTCCACCGCACTTAATACTAATGTTCGCTTCCCGGCAACTTCTCTCTGCCTTCCGCTGCCTGCCGGCCCCCTCAGCCTCAGGAACCTTTCAGACTCGGGTTCTTCTCCCTCCTTCTCTCTTTTTCCTCGCTCTATCAGTTCTTCTCTCTCTCTTTCTGTCTCTCTCTGGACTTGCTGCTGAGGGACCAAGCGGCCCTCCTGAAAAAGGTGAGGGTTTTATTTTTACAAAGGCTGGGGAGAATGGAATTCCTCCAAAGCACCCCTCCAAAAGTAACCCACTCTCCATACCTCAACAATGGGCGGGTGTATCTCTGACCCCTACTCTGGTGCTGTCTCTCCTCTTTCTCCCTCCCCCACCCTCCTTTCATTGCCTTCCTCGGCCTGGGGGTCAGTTTGGGAGCCTTTCTTCCCTCGAGGCCCGGTCACCCCACCACCCAGGCTCTGAGACCCTGAGGGGAAACAGTCAGCTCTTCACGCTGTTAATCTTTTGTGAGGGGCCCAGGTCCACAGGTCTAGAGGGAGAGCCAGGTTTAGTAGAGACACCCCAAGGGGAGAAGACAGAAAATGGGAGGTCTGATGGTGTCTGATCCCCAATTTCCCTGGTGAATTCAGGTAGTTGCAGTGATGTACTGGGCAATGAAGGCCGGAAGGTGCCCACAAACCTTTGCAGCCTCTGAAAAGGCAAAGATGCTCTCTGAAGTGAGTACCCAGACGGGTCGCAAGGCCCCAGTACTGAACACTGGCCTGTGGCCACCCTCTGCTCCCTCTAACAGGATTTTGGTTGTGTTGGACCCTCTCACACCACCCAGAGTACGAGGGGAAGAGGTGCTGGACCAGCCTGGCCAAGCTGGGAGCCCCCATAGTGTTTAGTTACTGGACCCCAAGGCCTGGCACAGGGAGGAGACAGCTCAGCGTCCTACTTGGCACTGTCCTATCTCTCCTCACATAAAGTCGATGCCCCCAAAGCACTGAATAGACAAAGTGCCTTCTGGGGACCCCCACATGTTAGCTCTGTCCCTTCCCCCCACCCCCAAGCCAGCTCAACTCTGCAGAGCTGCATTTAGTGGGCTGAGGCCAGCCTGGCCTGCCCTGCTCCTCTCTGCCTACTAACCAGAAAGTTTTTTCTCTCCCCCCCCCCACCTCTCTGAGACCCCTTCTCTGCAGAAAACCCAGGCTGGAGGGGCTCAGTGGGGAAAGTTGGCGAGGAGTCTGAGTGAGGCAGAGGGGTGATGTGGGGGCTTCAGACCAGGGTTTGGGGGTCAGGTGCTCACCACAGCTGAAGGGGGAGAAAAATCTCCGAAAAAGTCACCGTTTGCAGCGAAATAAAAAAAAAAACCCATAATCGTTCTCATTTCGGCTTCGTCACCCCCACCGTGGCGCAGTGGGCGCGGGGGCGAGGGAAGCTGCAGTTTTATAGCTGTAGAGGAAAGAACTCGTAAAATGCTAACAGCTTTTATGCGCTGCCGCATAAACAACAACAGACTCCGGCTTTATTGCGTTTTATAGTTTGTTAAAGAGTTTACAGCCGTTTTTTGGGGGGCTGGTTACTCAGCCAATTCCCTCCACACGATAGTTAAACCTTTATCAATAATAAGGAAATTGATCATTAAAGCTTTAAATATGACTACCTCGTTTGTTTGAAAATATGTTTAGGAGAGGAAGCTGTATGATTTGATAACTTGTATTAAAATACCAATTACATTTATAGGACCTTTTAAAACTCGGCGCAATTAAACCGTGTTCTTTTACATTTTTCCGAAGCGACCCTGACATTTAAAAAGACTCCAACTGCCTCGTTAAAATCGCGAAATTAACAGCGTGCCTCTCCCGTTGTGTGTGTGTGTGAGTGGTTTTTTCCACGACTCCCCCACATCAGTCTTTGGGGGTGGTCTGCGAAGGTATTTGATTTGTTGTGAGGCAAGAGATATCTCATTAATGTAGGTAGTTAAACAGATTTAATCCGTATTCATTCTCTCTCACCCCCTCTCCCTCTCCCCCTCTCGCTCCCCCTCTCCCCCTCTCTGTCTCCCAGGGTATTTTTTTTCTTCCCCTCCTTTTTTTTCCTCTCTCGCTCTCTCTTCACTCCCTGGCGCTCTCTCGCTCTAGCTCTCTCTCTCACTCTCTCTCGCTCTGCGTTCTGTCCGGGAGGAGTACAGAGAAGCCAATAGCATGCGGGGTCTCTAATGGATGCAAATGATCGTGAAAAGACAGTGCGAAATATGAAACAACTCATTTGCAGGGAAGTAAATCACCGAAAACTGTTTATGAACTGGCATCCCTGCTTCGAAATGTAAAGCGAGGACCTCTTTAAGTGGCGGTATATTTTTGTTTGGGGGGTGGGGGGTGGGGGGAGGGCGAGCGAGCCGCGGCTGCCATGCAAGCCTAGACTTTTCCAGGCTTCGCTGGCCTTTTCCTATTCCTGGAAATCACCAAAAGTGCGGCGGCTTCGAGATCTTCTTCGCCTTTTCTTTCTTTTCTCCCCCCCTCCTCCCTTTCCCTCTCCTTTCCTGGCGAGGGTGACTAGGAGCCGGCGAATCCGCGGTTTTTTTTTTCTCTCTCTCTCTCTCCCTCCCTTTCCCCCTCCCCACCCCCCTCCCCAACAGCCCCCAACTACAGTCGCCGCCGTCGCCGCCGCCTCAAAATTCAATAAAATGAGCTCTTATTTCGTCAACTCACTGTTCTCCAAATACAAAACCGGGGAGTCCCTGCGCCCCAATTACTATGACTGCGGCTTCGCCCAGGACCTGGGCGGCCGACCCACCGTGGTGTACGGTCCGAGCGGCGGCGGCACTTTCCAGCACCCGTCGCAGATCCAGGACTTCTACCACGGGCCGTCGTCGCTGTCCACGGCGCCCTACCAGCAGAACCCGTGCGCTGTGGCGTGCCACGGGGACCCCGGCAACTTCTACGGCTACGACCCGCTGCAGCGGCAGAGCCTGTTCGGCGCGCAGGACCCAGACCTGGTGCAGTACGCCGACTGCAAGCTCGCAGCCGCCAGCGGCCTGGGAGAGGAGGCCGAGGGCTCCGAGCAGAGCCCGTCGCCCACACAGCTCTTCCCCTGGATGCGTCCGCAAGGTGAGCTCGCGGCGGGGCCGGCTGGCCGGGAGGGAATCAGGGGGGCCGAGGCCGGCCAGGGGGCGGGCAGGCCAGCGCCTTCCCCCCAGCTCCTGCAATACGTGTCCGCTGTTCAAATCGCCTCCTCCTCCCTCCCTCCCTTCCTCCCCTTCCTTCCTTCCTTCCTTCCTTCCTTCCTTCCTTCCTTCCTTCCTTCCTTCCTTCCTTCCCTCCATCCTTCCCTCTGTGTTCCCTCCCTCCTATTATTTTTGTCCCCCTTGAAGAAGGGGTGTTTCATAACATTTCCTGGATCCATACCCCCTTCACCCCGCCTGACTTTTCTTCTTCCCCTCCTTTCTCCCTTTTACTGTTTTATGGGGGGTAGTGGACAGAGGGTGGTGGGCGTGGGGGGTGCTCAACTTTTGCACTTCTCAATTGCTTTATAGTTTAATTACCCTGAAGAAACTTTTCTTCTGGGGCAGAGGCTCTGGGGGCTTTCCTAGGTGCGTCCACACCCCCACCCCTCAATCCTGGCTTTTAAAAATTCTTCTTTCTCTCCCTGCTTCACAGCTTTCCTTCTAAAGTTTATGGCACTTTTAATAGATTTGAACCACCCCCACCCAGCTCTCTGGTGCTGGTTACCAGGGGAGGGGCTCCCCCTTCCTGGCTCCCTTAGATTCAGCGGTGTCTGATCCCCCTCACCCCCCCCCCCCGTTGACCGCGGCCTCCCAGCGCCCCCGCCCAGAAGGTCCCCTGCCCTTATTATCTTGGTCTCCTAGGCTGGTTCACGAATTTCCCAACCTTCTCCGTCTCTGCCCCCTCCCCCCCTCCCCTCCCCTCTGTCTCGCCCTTTACCCATTCCCAGCAGCCGCCGGACGCAGGCGAGGCCGCCAGACCTACAGCCGCTACCAGACCCTGGAGCTGGAGAAAGAGTTCCTATTTAATCCCTATCTGACTCGCAAGCGGCGGATCGAGGTATCGCATGCGCTGGGACTGACAGAGAGACAGGTCAAAATCTGGTTCCAGAACCGGAGGATGAAGTGGAAAAAAGAGAACAACAAAGACAAGTTCCCCAGCAGCAAATGCGAGCAGGAGGAGCTGGAGAAACAGAAGCTGGAGCGGGCCCCGGAGGCGGCGGACGAGGGCGATGCGCAGAAGAGCGACAAGAAGTAGGCTGGAGCTGGGACAGCCAGGGCCGCGGCCGCCGCCCGCCCGTCCGCCCGCCCGCCCGCCCGCCGGTGCCCCGGCCGCGCCGCCGCCGCCCGCCCCCGCCCGAGAGCGCTCCGGCCCCGCGAGCGGGGCCCCGAGCCCGGCCTCCCACCGCAGCGTCCCCGCCGCGCCAGTCCCCGCTAGTGGTAGTATCTCGTAATAGCTTCTGTGTGTGAGCTACCGTGGATTCCTGCCCTTCTCTCGGGGGCCGGGGGGCAAAGAAAAAAGGATTGAAAGCAAGGACTGCCTCGCCCTGCGAGGGTGAGCGGCCGAGGCCTGGCTGAGCCCCCACGCCCCCCGTCCCGTGTAAAAAGCTTCCTTGTGCAATGGTCTTTTTTCCTTTGAACGTGCTTCTTTGTAATGACCGAGGTACCGATTTCTGCTAAGTTTCCCAACAACATGAAACTGCCTATTCACGCCGAAATTCTTACTGTCTCCCTCTCTCTCTCTCTCTCTCTCTCTCTCTCTCTCTCTCTCTCTCTCTCTCTCTCTCCTCATTTCCCCCTCCCCACCCCCCTGTCCCCGCTGCCCTCCCTCGCTCGCCGGCTTTCTCTCCTGCTTCTCTCTCTTTTCCTCCGACTCCCCACCCCACCCCCCCTTTGGTTTGACAATTTCGTCTTAAGTGTTTCTCAAAAGAGGTTACTTTAGTTAGCATGCGCGCTGTGGGCAATTGTTAAAAGTGTTCTTAGGTTTACTGTGAAGAGAATGTATCCTGTATCCGTGAATTGCTTTATTGGGGGGAGGGAGGGCTAATTATATATTTTGTTGTTCCTCTATACTTTGTTCTGTTGTCTGCGCCTGAAAAGGGCGGAAGAGTTACAATAAAGTTTACAAGCGAGAACCCGAGACTGGCCCGGCTCCGGGCTCCTCATTTGCTCCTGGCGCCCTTTGCAGAGCTGGGGAGGAGGGGGGGGGCGGGGGGAGCCGGTCACCGGTCTCCTGCGCCCGCCTGGCCAGGCCAGGCCGCCGGGAGGAGGGGGCGGGGGCTGGAGGCAGGTGGTGCGAGTCCCTGGGCCCAGGGGCGCAGGGGGTGAGGGAGGCGGCTGCGTGTGATTGGAGGAGAAGGGAGCGAGGGAGGGGAGCCAAGAGAAACCCCCTCCCCTCGCGTTCTGCGGCTGCGGGCCCCGGAGACCCGGGCGCCCAGGCCACGCCGCGCTGGGGAGATGCGCCCGGGCGGGTGGCTCTCTCGCCGCCACCTCCCCCTTTGTTTCTCTGTGTCCTCTCCTGGGGGTGGGGGGAAGGGAGGGGGCGGGTAAAGGTGGAGTGCTGTGCTGCTGAATAAGCTTATATTTTTATTTTTCCCGGACGGGGGGGGGGTGGCGGGGGCGGGGGCAGGAGCGGGTAAATGTTCTTCCCCCTCATCTCCCCCCCGTGGGACTTGGCTACCTTTTCCCTCCTGGAGGTCGAGGCTCACCGCCCTCCACCCTCGCTCCCTCTACGTTTCCGGCAGCTAGCCTCCAGGAACCAGAAGAGCAAATACTCTAGCTGCCTTCCCCCTTCCTTTCTCTTATCACCCACTTCATTCCCTTCTTTTCAGAAAATTTTCACATCCCCCTTTTTATTTTAGCTACCGTGATCCGCAGCATCCCACGCAGTTCGTGGGAGGAACCCCGCGCCTCTAGGAGCACCCACGAAGCCTCGCACTGTCCCTGCCGTGGGTCTGGGCCAGGCTCACCTAGTTCCTACCTTGGGGGGACCGGCCTAAGTTCCCCCCAAAGGCCCAGCCTGACTGGCTGGGTTCAAATTAATAGAGCTGCTCCCCGCCACCCACCCAGTGGCGTGCCATCTCTGCGTTTGCTTCTCGCTGGGTAACGGGCTGGGGAGGTTGGTGGGGGGAGACAGCACGGATCGCTCGGTGATTATTTATTTTCCCTTCCACTCCATTCCTTCTTCCCCAAATCTCGCCTGCAAGCTGCCTCCTGCCCATGGGGGTCGCCAGCGGCCCTTGAGCCCCCAGCCCCAATCCACAGGACTTGGCGCTCCCATTCATTATTGATCATATTTTATAAATCCAACGCCACACAATTTTTTCCACATTACCGGGAGCCGTGGGGAGGCTGCCTGGCCATTGGCGGAGGGGACGTCACGTGGGCGGGGTCACGTGGTCCGGAGAGGAAAAAGGGGGTCCTTTTCGGTGTAAATCTGGACTCTAATTCTGTAATATATCAAGGAATCTCGTAAAACCGACACTAAAACGTCCCTGCCTACAAATCATCCGGCCAAATTATGAGTTCATTGTATTATGCGAATGCTTTATTTTCTAAATATCCAGCCGCAAGTTCCGTTTTCGCTACCGGAGCCTTCCCCGAACAAACTTCTTGTGCGTTCGCTTCCAACCCCCAGCGCCCGGGCTATGGAGCGGGTTCGGGCGCTTCCTTCGCCGCCTCGATGCAGGGCTTGTACCCCGGCGGGGGGGGCATGGCGGGCCAGAGTGCAGCCGGCGTCTACGCGGCCGGCTACGGGCTCGAGCCGAGTTCCTTCAACATGCACTGCGCGCCCTTTGAACAGAACCTCTCCGGGGTGTGTCCCGGAGACCCCGCCAAGGCGGCGGGCGCCAAGGAGCAGAGGGACTCGGACTTGGCGGCCGAGAGTAACTTCCGGATCTACCCCTGGATGCGAAGCTCAGGTAACGCCGCGCACCCAGCCGTCCCGAGCCGCAGTGGCCCGGGCCCGTGCTCCCGGAAGGCGCCCCCTTCCTGGCCAAGTGTCCCTTTCCGCGTCCTGAGTGCTCTCGGCAGGAGATCGGCCCTGGGGGACGCGGCACCCCCCGGGCCCCCACCCCCTTTTCGATTTGGTGCTCTTTAGGTTGGCGCTGCTTCGCTGGCGGATCTCTCTCCGCCGACGCCGTGGCGCGCCGAGCCCCCTGGCCGCCCCCCACCCTTCCTCCTGGCCTTTTAGCTTTAAATATTTATCAGCCACGCCGGCACGGGCTGGAGATGAGGCCGTTTGTCTTGCGGAGGAAGGCTGGGGTTTGCAGAGAATAGCCATTAGGGTCTCTCCCCCCCTCCTCTTTCCCTCCCCCCCAATCTCAGCTCTGGGTGTGTCCCCCATCCCTAGCTTGGATAAGGTCTAGGGGAGGGGGCTGCTGCACTGAACAGTTTCCCCCTCCCCCTTTCTTCCCAGCCAACCCCGCTCCCCCTCTATTCCCTTCAGGACAATTAGAGGTGGGCTCTAGAGGCCGGTGGAGGAGGGGGTGTGAGAGGAGAGTCCAGGCAGGGACACAGAGCCAGGGAGGCAGGTGGAGGGGGGATGGCTGAGACCAAGAGAGATGAAGCTCCTGACCCCCCAGTGAACTTGGGAAGGGGGCAGAGGCCTGGGAACCGGCTGGCTTCCTCAGGTGCCCATCCTGGAAAGAACTTCCCTGGGGAGAACTGGCCAATAAGTTTACAGGTATCATTCTAGAAGGTCCTTGTTCTCTCAGAGAGGGCTTACAAGTCTAGGGAGACAGATCCTAGTCCTAGAGAACAGCCACTAAGGCAGCTACTATGGTGGGAATTCTAAGGGACTGGGGGAACATGGGGTCTCCTGCCGAACTTGTCCTAAACATTCTTCCTGTTGGCTTGGACTCTGGGGGGGGGGGGGAAGAAAGGGGCTCCGACACAAGCTGTGAAAGACCCAAGACTTGTGAGTAGAAGGACCCCACCTTCTGAGTTAAGAGGAGGGCTTCAACCTCAGTGCTGGTGGTTGAGGTCCCCATTACCAGCTCCATAATTCAAGCACCTTTCCAGTTGATTTATCAAAGCCCAAATTTTTCTGCTCATTAACATTTCAGCTTGGCTTTTATCTGACTTGAAATTAGGGCCCTTAGCTCCTCCTCTCCTCCTCTCCTTCCCAGGAGACCTGGCACTAGCACCTCCCTCTCACTCTAGCGTGCATAAGCCTCTCCTCAGCCTCCTGGGGTGGAGGCTCTGGGTCTGCCCTACAGGAGCTCCCAAACCCAATACATTAAGTTCCACCTACTCCAGCACATGCTGTCTCTCGCCCCTCTGTCTGTTTCTGTGGGCCCCGAAATTGCTTTGGAGAGCAGGGTGATCTGGATAGGTGAACTGGACAGGTTGCTCCACTGTGAACCTGTCACTCCCAGGGGAATAGTCCTCAGAAGGCTGCTCTCAGATGACTCCGTGCTGCCAGGAAATCTGCAAATCCTTACCTTCTAGGTCCACACCCAAGTCCAGTTGGAGGTGGTGATAGACTGGTCATGCGAAGCTCCTTTGTCTCCTTTCCTTTGGGGCGGGGGAACACTCAGGCCAGGCCTTAAGCCCCACACCAGAGTCACTGGGATGGTTTCCACTGCTGTCTATGCCTCCTCCCCACCCCCCTAGACCATCAGAGTCAGCATTCAAAAGAGGAGATTCTGATCTTCAGGGGGAAGTAGGGGCTTATCTCACCTTGACACAGTCACCCTTTAGGTGCAGATCCTTCAAGGGGTAACAGGTTAGATCTTGGGTTCACAAGGCTTGAATTGGGAGACTTCCGGGTTGGCAAATGGAAACACAGGCCTTGGTGGGCCTCAAAGCTGCACACAGAGGGCCCAGGGAAGGCCTGGGCTGCAAGGTGGAAAGGGAGAATTTGGTTTAGTGTCAGAATGCGATCTTCCAAGCATTGATCTCCCCCCTTTCCCTACCCCCAATCACAGGGAGGGTTTAAGAAGGACTTGGGCACTCTGGTGGTCTTTTCCACATACACTGATTTTTCTCCTCCAAATACTACGTGCAGGGACCGACCGCAAGCGAGGCCGCCAGACCTACACGCGCTACCAGACGCTGGAGCTGGAGAAGGAGTTCCACTACAACCGCTACCTGACCCGGCGGCGGCGCATCGAGATCGCGCACGCGCTCTGCCTGACCGAGCGGCAGATCAAGATCTGGTTCCAGAACCGGCGCATGAAGTGGAAAAAGGAGAACAAGACCTCCTCGGGCCCCGGGGCCACCAGCCAAGACAAGGCTGAGGCCGAGGAGGATGAG